CTTTGAGATACAGGCGATTTTCTAGCAGGCGGTGGAGAACCTTTTTTACGTAGGTTTTATGTTCTTCCAGATCTCTGGAAAAGATCAGGATGTCGTCCCGGGAGACAAAACCGAAGACGTTTAGGTTGTCCCTCGGGTCATATTAACAAGGGCCTGAAAAACTGCTGAGGCATTTGAAAGGCCAAACGGCATGACCAGATATTCGAAATGAATAATGTGAGTCTTTAAAGCAGTTTTCCACTCACCCCGCTTCCGAATACAGAATGGAATCATCAATAATTGCTTCAGCCCACTTTAAAGCCTTGTCTCTGAGCAGGCTGATGATGTAGGATATCTTGTTGGCATCATCCGTAAATGACTGTGAAGACTGCCCGAACACTAGGGAGCACTGTAGCAAGAATCCTTTGCTTTTGTTCAGGTCACCGGCGAATGGCTCCGGAGTGGCCAAAACAACGTCTCTTGACATAGGAGACCTGAAAGTAGCTGCAGAATCAACAGGTAGGTTTTGGAGGAGGCAGAGACGGCATTGTGGAGCTTAACTCCTGTACTTGGAGTGACAATTGGCTAAGGGTTTGCATGATTGAAGTTTGTTGTTGAGCTATAGTCGAAATAGCTGAATCATGTCGGTCAAGGAGAGCTCCTTGTTCAGAAAGTGGGGTTTGTAATAGTCATGCTGTTTAGGCGGTTCTGACATGATTCTAGAGTAGACTCTGATGCAGACACAACAAGAGTCAGGAAGCTTTTTAAAATGTTTGTTTGTAAGTTTTACAGATAGATAGTTTGGTCCGGCATGGTAGTTCAGGGAACTGCGACTTAGACTGGAACTGCACAGGAAGAGAGATAAGTTAGATCTTTGGCAGGATGAGCTGAGTATTAAGAGATGATGCTGATTTCTTACAGTTCCTTGGAGAGAGGAGCGGATGGGAATGAGGTTGGATGAGTCCACAGAGATTGAGTTTGGCTGAGATGGGGTTATGGCTTGAGAGCTCCATAGGGTGGACAGGCAGGTGAGCGTTTGAGGATAGATCCAGGAGGACTGAGTGGAGAACTGGCTTGGAGACTGCAAAGCTTCTAAGAGAGAAGGAGGAAAGCTTGAGTCTTAGCACAAAGTTCAATTTAAGGTAGAGCTAGCAGGTAGGTTACCACTATGTGGAATTTTAACTGACTGGCCTCCGTCCCAGGGAATCCACTACTCTAAATACTGCTTCCTGATTGCGTCCAATTGGAACCAGCTGGAGGCTTGTCTGGGCTGGAGTCTCTGAGAAGGAAAATGTAAGAAAAAACCCTAACACAGCTCAGCACACAACCCTGTGGACCCAACATGTACACAGAGGAAGGGAAGCATGTTTGAAAGCCATATAAAAGTTTAAGATGGATTTTGTGTTTTAAAACCAAAGTTTATCAGGAAGAATATGGGCTTTGATCAAATTAGCTTTTCACTAATTTAGAGAAATTGGGATGTTTTCAGACCAATTCACAATGCAAATCCATGAGGTGAATAAAACATTATTTGGCCAAATAAGGTTTTAATAAATGATTTGCTTAAACAGGAACCAATAACCTTTAGTTAAATGATTCTTTACCCTCTTTGAAATAGCTAGCAGCGAATAGACATCAGTATTCCACTAAATGACTCTTGGCCATACTTGGTAATGGAAATGTAATGAGCTTATATGGAACACATGAACACTGTTATATCAGTATTTGAACCCTTAGTGGAATAAAGTTTGTCCAAGCTTCAACAACAGCTCAAAATAAGTTACTATAGCATAGTATGCAGTCCATCCGGTTAGCCTTGTCTTTATTCATCAGTAAACACATGAAATTATCACAATCCTCAAACAACATATTGTTTGTTCTGTCCCTAACTGTGCCAGACCTGCAAACCTATGTCCATGTCCGTTTGAAAGGTTTGAGTTCTCATCCAACAGCAGCTTAGCAGGGCAGGCTCACAGTAAGGGTGTGGGGGGTTGGGGGGGTCCTTTGTCCCATTCGGCTCACACCTAGGAAAAGGCTGCTGTAGGTGGCTTTCACCTCCAGTCCAGCTCTGTCAGTTCTAAATCTCAGAGATATGTATTGCAAATGGCCTTTTTCACCACAGTTCGGTTATGGAATGTCAATCATCACGACGTAGCCCTGTTCATTCTTGAGATCTGGGCCTTGAGCCGGGGTCTCCATGGTTGTTGCCTCTTCCGATGTGAACCCCTGGGCAGCTTTACGGAAAGAGAGTGAAATCCTCTGTGCTGTGGTTTTTTACTGTTCCCAGCTTTATGGGGGGCCAAGACACACCTATTTGGTGAGAGGTCTCACAGCTAATTTGTTAGCAAGACTGCATACTCTTCTCCAATTATCATGTGAAGATGACACATGGACATTGATTCTCAATGTCCAAAACTAAAACATCCTTCTTGAAACCTTATCTACCTATAACATCTGAAACAAAACAGGAACATTGGGTTCAACTGTCAGTCCTAACTATACCCTTTACCCTGAGTTTAAGCTTAATATATAACATGTGCTCTTATATAACATGGGACACCAGCCAGGTTGGAGATGACAATAGAGATTCCAGTTCTTGTGCAGACTAATGGTCAGTCCAGACAGTGTCCATTGCATCACAGTGGCTTATTCAATCCTACACCACATAATCTGTTTTAGAAAACAAATCTGCCCCAATAATGATGTGGTTCCAGATGATGGAATGGACCATAGCAGGTAGAGATGCTTTAAATTCTTTGAGATAGGGCCAAGGATGAGGGAGGTCTTGTTGTTCTCCGTCTCCATCACCCAATACGCTCTCGCCTGTGTCCGACCTTTCAGACATTTCAACGTCTTTTTCTGAATCCTACATAGACCATTCACGTTTGCAGTTTGAAGAACACCTGCTTGCTTCTGATGATTTCCTTTAGCTAACCAATAAGTGTTTGCGTTATATGACTCATCCAATTACACTAGTTTTCACTAGATGTGGGTGGAGCCAATGATCTGCATTGGATGGAGCAAATGACGAGAAATAAATATTTATAAACATTAAACCTTAGCCAAGAGTAGCGAGTAACCCATCCATCCATCCATCCATCCATCCATCCATCCATCCATCCATCCATCCATCCATCCATCCATCCATCCATCCATCCATCCATCCATCCATCCATCCATCCATCCATCTTCCTCCGCTTATCCGGGGTCGGGTCGCGGGGGCAGCAGCTTAAGAAGGGAGGCCCAGACTTCCCTCTCTCCAGCCACTTCTTCCAGCTCTTCAGGAGGAACCCCAAGACGTTCCCAGGCCAGCCGAGAAACATAGTCTCTCCAGCGTGTCCTGGGTCTTCCCCGGGGCCTCCCCCCGGTGGGACGTGCCCGGAACACCTCACCAGGGAGGCGTCCAAGAGGCATCCTAACCAGATGCCCAAGCCACCTCAACTGGCTCCTCTCGATGTGGAGTAGCGAGTAACGTTTGTTTTAAAAATGTAAGGAATAAAAAGTAGAGATACTTGTGTTAATGTAATTAGTAGAAGTCAGAAGTTGGAAGAAAAATAAGTAATGGAGTATAGATACCTAAAAAGTGTACTTAAGTACAGTAGCAAAGTATTTGTACTTTGTTACTTGACACCTTTGAAAATCGAAATATGCTGTCATTACATTCTTCAATCTTTGATATGTACTTAATTAAGATCATTACTTCTTATACTGACAGATGATCTCTTAATTAGATAAGCTGCTTAGGAAAACATGAGCATTAACACGTAACACGTCACCTCTCCAGGTCCACCAAACACATATTGGTGAGTTGGCCAAACTCCCATGCAGCCTCGAGCAAACTGCAGAGGGTTTAATAACAATCAGATAGACTCACCTCTGCACTATCCAGCATAGTCATAGTTGACCCTCTGAAGACCAGCAGGTTATTTTGGACAGAGAAGATAGATAGAGAGAAAGCTGAAGAAAGACGTTTTTAGTAAAGAGTAGCAATCATCTATAAACAGATGAAGAGTCCTCAGATTTCAGCTTTCAACAACATCAAGTCCAGCATTTAGCCTGATCCTCAGTTAATTTCAGAACAATCACCCCATTCTGCATGTGACCCAACATTTCTCAGTAACCCAGAATAACAACGGCATTAATGACACCCTGTTGTTAGAGGAGGCCAACTTGCACGAGGAGTTAGGTCTGCAGAACAGAACAGAAAACCCCTACAGCTTAAAGCTGCCATCTTCTCCATCACTAGCTTCGAACGGAAGAAGATCTTTGGATTAAGAGCAAAAAACAAAGTCCTGGTGTTTTGTTTTAATGAGAACTGTTTGATGAAGGGTTCCTACATGAGAAGATTGACAACAGAAGTAGGTGTTTCAAACGTGTTTAGAAAATAATAACCTTAAGCTGAACAGGAAGTGATGTAATGCTGTTAACCCACATCCAGTGCCCGATTGGTAGAGATACTTGTCTTTGCAACATTGCTCACTTTCTGTTCCTGCAACCCATAACCACTGAGGAAGAGGAGGGTTTTACTCTCAGCCTCAGAACATCTCTACCAGAGCTCTGAGAGACACAATGAAGGAAACATCTGTCAGATTTCTGCTCAGTAAGTAGATTCTTTCTGAACATTTCCTGGGTTTCTGTAGATAACTGATGATGGAGGAGAGGCTGGGAAACAGCCTGGAACTGGGTTAAAACACACTGAGGAGAAGTTCTACTGGAATCTGAAGAGAACAGATTAAACCTGGAAAATATTAATAGAACTTAATGATATAGAGCTATTTTCTACCTGCTGGAACAACATTTACAGTAATGGTCTGAATGGAAACTATCTGAGGTGTAAAACTGTTTTATGCGAGAAATGATGAAGTTTTTTGTTAAACCAAATTATTATAATTTTTCTCTTTTTAGTTCTAACCTCAGTACTGAGCTGCACAACAAACCAAGGTTGGTTCACTTCCTGTCTAACACCTTAATATTCAGAGTAAACATCTATGGTTAAGAAAATGTTCATGGTTTCTGTACGTATGAATAATAAGTTTGTCATTTCAGCAGCTTGTCTGACTGTGAGTCCCAGCAGATCTCAGTTCTTTAAAGGTAAAGAAGTGTCTCTGAGCTGTGAGGACAACAGCTCTGCTGGATGGACTGTATGGAGGAACACAACCAGAGAAACCAGGACTCAGTGTGGAGATGGATGGGGAGAAAAAGCTGGTTCTACCTGTAACATCAGCTGGTTGATACCATCAGACAGTGGAGTTTACTGGTGTTGGTCGTCCAGAGAGGGAGCAGCCAGCAGCAGCATCCAGCTCACTGTCACTGGTAAGATCAGACTGTGGAGTTAGTGTTGATGAAGCTGTGTGGAAATGGATGAAATGCTGTAGTTTGTCTCTGTGTTGAGGTGGATCAGTGATCCTGCAGAGTCCTGTCCTCCCTGTGATGGAGGGAGATGACGTCACTCTGAGCTGTCTAACAGAGACCACTCCCTCCAACCTCCCAGCTGCTTTCTATAAAGATGGCTCCCTCATCAGGACTGAGCCCAAAGGTCACATGACCCTCCACCATGTGACCAGCTCTGATCAAGGCCTCTACAGGTGTAACATCAGGGGTCATGGAGAGTCTCCATCCAGCTGGATCTCTGTTGAAGGTCAGAACCATGAAAACAATGTTTAATTCTGGGTTTTTAAAAGAAATGACTGGTAATTATCTAATAATTATCCTATTTCAGATAAACCATCAAACACTTTTACAACCCTTCCTGGTCCTTCAACCACTTCTTGTCCTGCAACTTCTCTTCCATCTACAACATCTTCTGTATTTCTCTGCTACTTCCTTTACTACGTTCTCCCGTTACTTTCAAAGATGATTCTTATGGTTGTGCTGCTGGTCCTACTGAGGAGACGATGTGTTGAGAGGAAATCTGAAGGTTAGAGGAAGCTTGTTCTGTTACGTAACAAAGGTTGATAACAACCAATAGAAAAGAACTGTGAAAATAATTACAATCTTTTTTTTGTTTTTTAAGAAGAAGTTGCAGGGGAAAATGTTTATGGTAACATTGGTGTTTCCAATTAAGGTAAGATTGTGATTTTTGTTTTCATTTTATGTGATTTTCCATCTATAATTAATGACTTACATGGATGACAGGAACCAGAACTTTTCAGAACTGGTGCTGGATAGATGTTAAAATATAACTTATAGAACCATAGATAAATCAGTTTTTCCTGCTGTAACCTTTATTGAACTTCATTATGTTTTACAGAGATTTTGATAAAGACAGGTTTTATATTATAACCTTTTAGGAAGTCAAAAAATCTTCCAAACCTCATTGATATCAGCAATATGAAGGAATAAACAGGAAATCATCTGTTGGTGTTTAAACAATGAAAGGATTTTAGGGAGGAGACAGTTAGTCAAAGAGCTCAGATTATTTCAGAAAGAGACGTCCTCTATTGAAACATTATAGGGTTAATAATGCCAATAATAGGTCATTTTAGGCAGATGTAATCTGTCATCAACATGCTGGTTGGTCAAAATGTGAAGTTGATCCTTCAGCTATTCTGTAGAATATAGATTTCTACCATTACTGAATAATTAACCGATCCAGATGGACAAATCTAACTTCTATAGGTCTGTAGTTGGTGTGTATCTTGGTGAATAACAGTAAACGTTCTAACCCTCTGTGCTGGATGGGCTGCCGCTGTTTGTGGTTTTTCTGCTAACTGACTATCAGACGCCATCGGGTTTCCTGTTCACATATTTTAGCTGAATATAAACCACATCTTCTCTCTCTGACACTGAGATGAAAACAGACTAAAGACAGGAAACAAAACTCACCTTTAATTTGTTGTCGCCTATGAAATTTAAAAATATCTTCTTTTCTACCTTTACACACTGTAAAAGGTTCAACCATGAATAACAAAATGGCAAACCAAAGAGTGTGATCCATGAGTAGGTACAGGGTCCAGGCCAGGGGATGTGATGTCCAGTGAGCATAGGGCACAGTTCAAGGCCTTCTAACACACCTTGATGTCTTGACAGGCTTAACCCGGGACACATGGAATGTGAGATGAATTCTCAAGGTTCTTGGGAGTCACAGACATGCGCAGACACTGAGTTTGTTTGAACTGAAACTGAAATCTCGATTAAAATGCAAAATGTGGCTGACAATAAAGATTGTTTGATTAATTGATTGACCAGAAAGAGAGATCATATCTCTCCTATCCTGGCTTCTCTTCATTGGCTTCCTGTTAAATCCAGAATATAATTTAAAATCCTCCTTCTCACATATAAAGCCTTAAATGGCCAAGCTCCATCTGATATCGGAGATCTGATTGTTCCTTATGTTCCTAACAGAGAACTACGCTCTCAATCTGCAGGTTTACCAGTGGTTCCTAGAATTTCTAAAAGTAGAATGGGAGGCAGATCTTTTAGTTATCAGGCTCCTCTCCTGTGGAACCAACTACCAGTTTTAGTCCGTGAGGCAGACACCCTGTCTACTTTTAGGCTAGGCTTAAAACTTTCCTTTTTGATAAAGCTTCTAGTTAGAGTGGCTCAGGTTATCCTGATCTATCTCTATAGTTATGCTGCTATAGGCTTAGACTGCTGGAGGACATAGGGACCCGTTTTTCATCATTCTGCTTCATTCTATCTCTATAGTTCTGCTGCTATAGGCTTAGACTGCTGGAGGACATAGGGACCCCTTTTTCATCATTCTGCTTCATTTTATCTCTATTCTCCCACTCTGCAGAATCTGTCAGTTCAATCTCTAACGTTCTGCTCTCTCTGCTTTTTCTCATAGTAGCTTCATCTGGTCTGTTCCTGTTTGGCTGTGACTCCATCCTGGAGAGAAATATCAGCTGTGCTGCTTCCATCAACACCTTTGTTTCTAGATGTTGGAGCTTGGCCTGTTTTCCAGTGTAGTCCTGTTTCTCTGACTGTGACTAACTGGATGTGCTCTCTTCGTCCTCTGACATGGGAGCTGGCTTGGAGCTCGTCTGCCTGGCTGTATGTTTCCTGGACGGGGCCGCCTGTGGAGCTGGTTGACAGTTGCCTTTTGTATCTATTCTTCTTTTTCTATGTCTGCTTCTGTCTCCTTGAACCCCAGTGGGCCTCAGCAGATGGCCACTCACACTGAGCCTGGTTCTGCTGAAGGTTTCTTCCTGTTAAAAGGGAGTTTTTCCCTTCAACTGTCGCTACAAGCATGCTTTGTGTGAGGGATTGCTGAAGAGTCAATGAGTCAATGCAATCAGCTGGTTTTCCTTACATAGACTGGATGATCTGGTGAACTGTAAAGTGCATTGAGATGACATGTGTTGTGAACTGGCACTATAGAAATAAACTATAGCGCCAGTTCACAAAAAGCTGTATATGAGTGGTAAACATGTGATTTATTCTACCACTTGAGGTTCCCCAAAGTTTTCCCTTTCCAGCAAGCAATGGTATAACATATGCTATTTTAGACCAGCCAGTGGATTATGACTAGGGCTGTAATTTCAAAACGGACCTCGCACTGGGTCATAAATGCAAAACACTGGTCAGAATCGTCTTGCAATAATTCTGGAGGCTCCCTGATAACAGGTAACGGGGTTGCCAGAGGCGTCATGTGAACTGACGAATGCGGAAGTGGAGTTCCAGGTTGGTCTTGGTTACTTAGTAGACCCAGAATCTACCTAACGCCAGATTTTAAATTACTGATACAATTTTCAATGCCTGTCTGACACTGCTGGTCTGGCAATGGGTCCATTTTTGGTCAGATTATTCTGTAACAAAGAGAATCTGAGGACCCAGAATTCAGCCAGAACACAGGGTAAGGGTTTAAAATTTTATTATATACAAAACTGCAGCAGGATGGGAAAGACTCGTCTGAGACCTGAGCTGGATCCCCCCCACCTCTGTACTGAGAGAGGGAATATTGCTGACTAGGAAATGACAGATGGAATTAATTCAGACAGAGAGTTCTGGATCACAGACCTGGCGATCGTTTGAATCCAAAAATAGAAATTCAGTGGTGTTGCCAGTTGGCGTATAATGTCACGGACCCTTCCTGTGCTCAGAACTTCCAGGACATCTCTAGGGAATCCTTCTGTGTTCGATAAAGATTTGTCCATAGGAATGCAATGGGTGAGAACAGAACCGTGAGAGCAGAATCAAGCACGAATAGCAAAAGGATAAACCAGAGTGCGTGATCCGTGAGTAGGTACAGGGTCCAAGCCAGTTGATCCGATTTTCAGAGAGAAAGGGTCATCCAAGGGAGACAGGGGACAGTTCCAAGCCCGGTAACAGGCAGGCTTTCAGATCTGACAAGCTTCAGGCACGCTCAGATAATCAAGAGGCAAGACAGGTCAGGCAAACAGGCAGGAAGTCAGGAACAAAACGACAGAACAGACCTCAGTGGATTGCTCGAAATGATCTAGCACTGAAGGCTGGTTAGATACTAATAGGGGCAGGTTGATTAGATGAGTCGTAAGGAGAACATGGCAGAGCTGAGCAGGTTTGTCTTCCCTGGAATCAGACCAGTATCAGTGCTGAGATCATGAAAACTACATCCATATTTCTAAATAAATTACTAAAGGCAGACTTGATTTTCTTTCACCTTTTGCTTATAAAGAACCTGAATAAAATAATCCACTATACCCCACGTAATGCTGATATAAACATATTGACATTAATACACACTTAAAACTGGCTAATTTATTCTTTATCTCTAATTACATATGAGACTCCTAGATGACTTACAGAGACACTGACATTTTTCTTCTCCTACATAAAAATCAACCAGTTCTGAAAAGAGCATAAATTCTTTGACTCCTTTAATTTTAGTATATCGAAGTGAAAAAAAAATCATTGTTAAATTTTTGTCAGTTTTTGATTGATACACTAACAATGCAATCTCAAATTAGTTAGACATTCAACTTCAGACTATGGTTGCTATTGAAGATCAAATGTCAGTGACTTAAGCAAAAGCAATTCCCCCCGACGTCACATCCTTCAACAGAAATTACTTAAGCAACCAACTTAATCTGCACCTTCTGTTTTACCTGTGGCCATTCAGGTCTGAGAGGAAAGGAACACTGGTTGTCAGCTGAAGCTATGTTATGCAGCCCAACCCCCCCTCTGGAGAAATTTCTGCTCGCTGGCTGAACCAGACTACATCCAGCCTATACTTCAGGGAGACTGAATGTAGTGATTGCTTCAAACCAAGCTGAACATAGTTTTTAGATAACCTGCCCGCTGAAGCAGATGAGAGAACCATCCAGGTTGTTTAATCAACATCCGATCCGAATTAGTGGTGCCGAGGTTCTACTACGAAGTCGGTGAACCTGATGGTGTTGGGAGCTGTGCTGCTGCCTGCCTGAGCCGCGGCTACTGTGCTATCCGCCACAGCTTTAGGGACACTTCCTTTTATTTCAAGCTGCTGTTAGTGATCAAAATAAGCCCTGCAGATCTGCCTCTTTTGTTATTGCATCGGATTAATCCAATCACACCCCCCACCCCACCCCCTTCCTTCCAGCAGATCACCTTCTGTATGCTGTACCGTTAACAGAGCATCTCTGCTCATGTTCTGGTCTGATGTAGATTTCTTCAGTCAGTGGAATTAAACAGGTTTTTGCTGTAGCTGTGAGTAATGTAGCTGAAATATTTTTTTGTGATTTCAGAGGTCTGACCAGGAAGAGATGTTGCTGATGCTTTTCATCAGGGAGAGAATCCATCAGTCCATCAATGATGACCAGCTGGCAGCTCCTGCCTCCAGAGCCTAACATCACTTTACATCTGCAGTTTCATTCAGAAATGCCTTCTGTTCATCACTTCTTCGCTGAGAATATTTTCTTCCTGATGCAATGATTATCTCAGCAAAAAGTGTTGAATCAATCATTTGTCTTAGAAACGTCTCTGTTTTCTTTATCTGATGTGTCTCAAACTTGTTAACCTGCAGACAGTAGACTGTAAGGTCTGTGTTGAATGTTATGCTGAACATAAGATGGACAGAAACTGTTCTAAAACAACCTAAAATAAGCAATTAATTAATAGTGATTATTTTAGTGAGTGATTACTCTGACAATTAAGTCATTTGATAAATATTGATCTTGTTCTTCAGCTTATTTTTATCCATCCATCCATTTTCAAACACGCTTAATCCCAAGTGGGGGGAAGAGGCGGGGTCCACCCTGGACAGGTCACCAGGGCAACACAGAGACAAACAGGACAAACAACCATTCACGCACACACTCACACCTAAGGAGAACGTAGAGAAGCCAATGAACCTAACAGTCATGTTTTTGGACTTTTGGACCACGCATGCTCAGGGAGAACATGCAAATTCCATGCAGAAAGACCCCGGGCCAGGAATCGAACCCAGAACCTTCTTGTTGCAAGGCAGCAGTGCTACCCACTGCCTCACTTAGCAGCCTCAGCTTATTTTATGATTAATAGAACTACATAAAAAATCCATAAGAAAATAATATAATTAATTTCTTAAATAACAACAAACTTTTTATTTTTTTATTCTATTTTTATTTTTATTTAACAATGTCCTGTCTGGAATGTGGCAATAAGAATAATTGTCTTGATGCCAAAAAGAGCCCAACAGATTTTACTTTCACAAGTGTAGCAGTATGGCAATCGCCATATTGCTCCACTTGTTTCATGCATACAAATTGCTTTATTATAATTATGCAGGGGGTTTTACAGTTTATATGGACACTGCAATGTAAATAGAGCAGAAAAACAGAAGAAGAAAAGGAAAAAAAAGAGAAAAGATGAAAGAAAGAAAAGATACAAAGGAGACAATGACAAAACATTTTCAGTCTGCTTCATCACCTGTAACGAGATGAAAAAAGAACAGCACAACCGAAAGACATGGTACGAGATACACAATAAAGCAACACCTTGAAACTATCGCTAAAGTAATATTATTAAGTCTGACATGTACTCTGTGTTACCTGAAGATACGGATGTGGGCTTTCTGTATGGAAGTGAATCTCTGAGTACCTGGAGCCTAGCACCTGTAATTGTTTGTGAGGGTGCACTTGTTCATGTAAAGTTTATCCATAGAAAAATGTTCAATAGTGGTTGTGGACAGCTGGAGTGGCACAGCCCCCAGAGCACTGAGTCCAGCGCCGGAAGACCCATAGCCCCAGGCGCCCAAAGGGACCCCAAGAGCGAAGGCACCAAGGAGGGGCCAGCCCTGGAAATCAGACCCCCACCAAGGGAGGAGGAGAGACAGCCCCGAAGAAGCCCCCCAGCCACCGTCATGCCGGCGCCCCAGGGAGCCGCTGGGACGAGTCCAGCAGGAGGGACGGGCAATACCCAAAAACCCCCGGCGCCGGCACCAACACCTACACCCGGACACCAGCCCCCGAACGACTCCCCCCCGACACCGGTCCTACAACACCAATCTGAAGAAGAAGAAAGCCCCACAACACAGCAAAGCACAAATCCTGAGTCCCATTCCAAGCTCTGATTCCCCCGCTCACACCCACCCTCCCACACAAAAAAATCCCCCTCATTGAAGAAGAACGGCCAACACAAGTCAGTGTCCAACACCCATCGCCACAGCACGAGGACTCCTCCACCCAGACGCTCCTCCCCAGGCAAATCAACATGCCTGCCATCCCAGGAGATAAACAAGCCCGCTGGGACACCGACCGAGGGAACCCCACCGACAGCGCACCGCCGGCACACGGGGGCCCGAGCGGCCCTGACAGAAACAACACCGGAAGGCCGATATGGATGGACCAACGGCACCAAGCAAGCCCCCAGGCGGATTCCCCCCCACCCAAAAACACAGCGAAACCACTTCACTCCCACCGACCACAGCAAACACAGCCGCAAGGCAAAACAAAGGACAGAGCAGCAAAGCCGCCCCAGCCGCGCGCCAGAAGTCGAGCACAAGCAGTAAAAAGAAAGCAACAGACACGACCCTGCCGATCCCGCCGTGCCCGGCGCGAAAGCAGCACGACCCACCCCGCTCCGGCCACGCACCGCCCACGGGCCGCCGAGAGGAGAACGGCCACGCTGACCGCGGCCCGCCCCCCCACCACCAAACACCAAGCAGCCCCCCACTCCCAAACCGCCCCCGCGCACAATCCACCGCACTGGGCACCACCGGCACCCGCCCCAACAAAGCGAAGCCACACCCCTGAAGCCCGCAACCAGCCCACAACAGACACACATGAACCCCGGCCACAGGCGCGACCACCCCTCGGAAGGCGTGTCTGTCGGGTTGAGGAGATCCTCAAAGTATTCCTTCCACCGCCCGACAATATCCTCCTTCAAGGTCAGCAGCTCCCCGCTCTCACTGAAAACAGTGTTAGTGAAGCACTGCTTTCCCCTCCGGAGGGGCCGGACGGTTTGCCAGAATCGCTTTGAGGCCAACCGATAGTCTTTTTCCATGGCCTCTCCGAACTCCTCCCAGGCCCGAGATTTTGCCTCTGCAACCGCCAGGGCCGCGACACGCTTGGCCTCACGGTACGTGCTTGCTGCTTCAGGAGTCCCACAAGCCAGCCAAGCTCGATAGGACTCCTTCTTCAGCTTGACAGCATCCCCTACAGTCGGTGTCCACCACCGGCTCTTCCAGCATATCCAACTCACCAACGGGTGGTGGTCGGTGTACAGCTCTGCCCCTCTCTTCACCCGAGTGTCCAAGACATGCAGCCGAAGATCAGAAGATATGACTACAAAGTCGATCATCGACCTTTGGCGTAGGGTGCCCTGGTGCCCTGTTGCACCGATGGACATCCTTATGCCTGAACATGGTGTTCATTATGGACAATCCGTGACTTGCACAGAAGTCCAATAATGAGACACCATTCAGGTTCAGAGCTGGGGGCCCGTTCCTCCCGATCACGCCCCTCCAGGTCGTTTCCCACTTGGGCGTTGAAGTCTCCCAGTAGAATGATGGAATCCCCGGGATGGGCGCCTTCTAACACCCTCCCCAGGGATGCTTAAAAGGCCTGGTACTCCGTACTGCCGTTCGGCCCATAGGCCGAGACAACTGTCAGAGTCCTCCCTTCAACCCAAAGGCGAAGGGATGCGACCCTCTCGTCTACCGGGGTGAACTCCAACATGAGATGGCTGAGCTGGGGGGAGACAAGCACAACCACCCCCGCCCTCCGCCTCTCCCCGCGGGTCACTCCAAAGTAGGAGAGAGTCCAGCCTCTCTCAAGGAGCTGGGTTCCAGAGCTCTGCCTGTGTGTAGAGGCAAGCCCAACTATTTCCAGCCGGTATCGCTCCACCTCTTGCACAAGCTCTGGCTCCTTCTCCACCAGTGAGGTGACATTACATGTCCCCACAGCCAGTTTAAGCGGATCAGGTCGCCGAGGTCTCCGCCTCTGGCTGCCGCTCAATCCCCTTTGCACCGGTCCCTCATGGTTCCCCCTGCAGGTGGTGGGCCCACTGGGGGATGGCCTCGTGTCGCTCCTTCGGGCTGGGCCCGGCCAGGTCCCGTGAGGAAGAACCCGACCACCAGGCGCTCCCCGACAAACCCCAACCCCAGGCCTGGCTCCAGGATGGGGTCCCGGCTCCGCCGTACCGGACGACGTCACTTGCCTTGCTGTGTTTCTCGTCATAAGGGTTTTTGAACCGCTCTTCGTCTGACCTGTCACCCAGAGCCTGTTTGCCTTGGGAGACCCTACCAGGGGCATTTATCCCCCGACAACATAGCCTCTGGGATCACCCAGGCACTGAAACCCCTCCACCACCTTAAGGTGGCAGTTCAAGGAGGGGGTACAATGTAGCCTCTATAATGTGTTCAGCATGGGGTAGCTAAGCTACAATGTTAGAAAGTCCATTGTAGCAGTTAGCTTCAGCAACATGTTACTCATTCAGTCTGTAGTGAGCATTAACATTCAGTTAAAACTCTTAAAAATATCAGCAGTTGAATCAGAAAGCTTATTTCAAATAGAACACCAACACAACTATCTATTCTACCTAGGTCAGCCAAGCAGAACGATTATTAAGCATCAGATGAAAGGGGAAGGATAAAGGACGTCCAACAGCAGCTCTCAAAGAGATTTTGGATAACTTTCTGATGCAATAATAAGAGGGGACTTTGCAAGGTGGGTCAATTTTATAACTCAGTGCAGTAGGAGACATGTCCTTTATAGCTATGTTGGTTAGCTTGTAGCCGTGAACTCCAGCAGCACCTTGGTGCTGCTCAGTCTGCCTCCATCTCAGGCAGCCACGGGTCTGGCGGCTTCTAACGGCTCATTTGGCGAACAGCGATTGGGGGCCCCGTTGTTCGGCGGCTAGGTTAAGGTTCACAGAGCTGAATTAACTCTTCTCTGTCTCTGCTGCAGCAGGCTTCCGGAAATACTGCGTTCAACTCAGTTTGAATCACAGGAAGAATAAAAACAATGCATTCAGCTCCTTCTGAATTGCAGGAAAAAGGCAGTCTGACTCAGTCCAGCGAGCACAGACTTCCGTGGAGGATTTTGGTTGCTACTTAGCATAGCCGTCAGCTGGGAATGCTCAAACGAGCTGTATGCGTTGTAGGACCGCCGAAAAAATAAAACGTTGTAACAGGAAGTCGGCTCTTTTAAAACCTCCACCGGAGGGATGTGTCTTCAGAGGGGACAGAGGGGAGTAGTTCTGTTTACATCAGCTGCACCTGATCAAAACAGTCAGGACACAGTAAGCACCTCCCACCCAGGGTTGTCAGACACTCTGCTGTAACAGTTGACCTTCCAGTTAAAACCTCAGAAAACTTAGGCTACTCATGGTTGTGATCAGTAGCTATATGTATAACAGAAATAATCCCAACAGACACCTACTTCGAGGTGTTATTGTCAATCTTTTAGGCTCACACTATGCAGTTGCCATGATCTGGAGGACTGAGAATTTACACAGACATTTCCAAAAAGATAATAAATGGTACTAATGACAGAAGCATTCCTGCCAGAGGCCAACATGCAACTGGAAAAGGTCAAACTTAATGCCAGCAATGCAGGTCAAACTTCTACACTTGCACAGACACCAGATGACCCCTAAAATACCCCCTACTTGTGGAGCACCCCCAAAGGGCACCACAAGGGATATGGTTAAATAACTTCAGCAGGTCCACAAAACACATATGGAAGAGTTGGGCAAACTCCCACGCAGCCTTGAGCTCACTGCAGAGGGTTTAGAGCTAATCAAGTGTTTAATAACAATCATCTAGAATCACCTCTGCAGTATCCAGCATATGCCTTTTCTTCGAGGCTGAGAAATATGATCCTCCTACAGTTGTAATGCATCCTATTATCTACCACCTACCCAGTCTCTTAGTCCCAGGCACTTTCGCTGACTTCCACGCAATGTTGAGGTCAGACCAGATCTCATCCACCGTTTTGCCACTATGAAGTATTTTGATCAACTTGTTGACTTCAGTCTGGGTGATAAGCCATCAATCCTTCCTGGAGCACACTGCCTCTTCTTTTGCCACGGAAGCCATGTCAGGCTGGTTAAGGAGATTCACAGTCTATCCCTTCCGCTGTCCAACAATGTCTGAAATAGTTTGAGAAAAGCACTGTTGCACTGACCTGCTAATTGGTGGCAGCCTAGGGCAGGTCTATTAGTGTGCACACCCGAAGTGCTTTGCCTCACATTTGTGAAGGCATAAATGTAGGGTGACCATATTTTCATTTGGGAAAACCAGGACACCTTGGGGGGTGGGTGGGGGTGGGGGGATCTGTGGCATGCACTCACTTAACGTTGGCCTACGTAATCGTACAATAACATGATATTTACAGTTGATGTATTAAAAATGCTTTTCAGTAAAAGTCAACAGCAATAACTCCAATAACAAACGACAATTTTATTCAAAATGTTTTTATTAAAAATGCTTAACAATTCCTGTAATGAATAAATAGCACAATGAAAGAAATAATGTCTCATCATCGGGATTTGCTCCGTGATCAGAGGAAAGGTTACTTGGCGCCGAATAGTGGTTAAAATTGGAAGTTCAGTTTAATATAATACAACTCTGTGAATAGTTCCGTCTGAAATGAATGAAAATAGTTGTTTTAATGGTTATAGAGTCAGATATGTGGCGGTAATGTTTGGTTTATCTAAATGTTTTTATCTGTTACTGTGTAAATGGGTTTGGCTGGAATTTAAGGACAGATTCTAATAGATCTGCCGGGTGGGGACTATAAATCTGATAGGAGTTTAATTTTTTATTGTTGTTTTGTACAATATGCTTAACTAAGTATTTTTTTGTTGAATATTAGAGATTTTGCAGATATATTTTTATACATACATTGTTTAGATTTACTTATATATTTCTACCCCTTTTATAGAATAGAAAATCCCTTTATTGTCCCACAATGGGCAAATTTACAGCAGCAGAAAGATTTTTGAAAATGGTCACACAAATGAGGACCTTAGAAGAATGTGTAAGAAAAACATAATAGGGAAGAGTT